TGGGATCCCTGGGGATCTCTACCAGCATCAGCCGGGCTGAAGTCTCATTGTGGAAGTTGTGTTGGGTTTTGCTCTGCCAAATTGAGGGGTGGAAAACCTATGGCTCAGGACAAAGCCATCCACATAAGCTCATGGGGAAAATACTGCATGGGAGCATCATGACATGTGCAAATGTCCTGCTAAAATGAAGAAACAGTGTCAACCTACAACTCCCAATGCTTCTCCTGAAATCCCAGGGCTGGGATGTTCGAGCCTGCCTTGTCTTTTCCCCTTAGCCTAGAGAAAACCATCTCACCTTCTGCATGGAGGTTAAACTCCAGGTGTAAAGCCCTGATCTCATGTCCTGCTGGGGATGGAGAAGCCTGGAGCCCACCTGAAAGCAGCACAGGCCAAGCACGTCTCCCCTTCGGTGCCAGCAGATCCACTGCTGGATCAGACCACCCACTCAACCTGGGCAAACACAAAGGGCCTCCTGGGAAGGAATGACCTCCTTTGGTTTTGCTTCCTCTCTCTTCCCTCCCTCCCTGGAGCCCCCGGCAGAAAATCCCTTCCCCAGCCACTGAGAAGATGGGCTGTAACTGAGTGGAAAATAACTGATACTTTCTTTTGCCATCCCGAGCCCATGCCTTGCTGGTGGTCATGCCGTGCTGGTCGTGAGCAGCCAGCTGCAAGGGGTTGCTCTGCATTTCCATTTTCAATGGTGACTGAAAGAGGTTTTCCAGCCCTCCGGCCTCCATCTCTCATCTGTAGGAGATCCAGGCTGCCTTCGTCCCCATCTCGCTCCTTGAAATTGTTTTCGTAATTACCTCTTCTGCAAAGGTATTGATATTAATAAAAGTGAGTGTGGGGAGGGCAAGGCTCTGCAGACAGCAGGGCTACAGCCCCAAAACAGGTGGATAATGGAGAGGAGTTGGAGGGGAGAGGGCTTGCAGGCAGAGGAAGGTGCCAGGGAGGAGTTTTATTGAGTCTTTCTCTGGTCTTTAGCAGATTGGATGCATCTACCTCACCGCCCTTCTCCTTGTGTGAGCCAGGGGCAAATTAGGAGAAGATGCACAGCATTAAAAGGAGGAAGACAGCCTTGGACTACACCTTGTAGTCATGGATGCCTTCCTCAAGTCTGCCACCCACCCCTTATGTGACCTTGAGAAGGTCATTTAATCCTCCCAGCTGTAGCTCTGGGGCAATTAAGACACAAAGCATCTCGGAGGGACTGCATGAGGACAGACATGCCTGTGTCTGTACAAAATTCAGATTCTCTGAACACGGGTATACAGTTGCCTAGGCAGAAGGTCAGTTCAATTCATACTACTTAGGGAGGCAGAATTAAATTACCTAGACTGACATTTGGCTAAGACATGGAGTTTAATATCCCTCTGCTCATGGAAAATGCCAGGGGATATTTAACGGCTGCAAGGGATCCATTTTAGCGCTCGTTGAAGGGACAGGATGGGCGATGGGCCCCTCCATGCTGCCAGGTCTCAGCTGCCTTTCTGAACCGCAGGCTTCATTTCGAGATGTGTCTAACAACAGCCTGGGGCGATGAATAGCTGAAGACTTGCAGTTAAGCACGGGGGTGCAGAGTCTTTAGGAAAAGCTGCTCTCCACGGCTGCTCTTGCATACTGAGCCTTCACTTGGATGCGGCAGCCTAAAACCAAGAGGGAAGAGCTGTGAGCTGCCTCCTGGCCAAATCCCCGTTCCAGGAATGTCTGGAGATGCTCCCTCAGCTCTGCGGGATAATATTACATCTGGTTTTCTAGCCGCTTAACCAGTACTCAGCCTAATGCCCATCGTCCATTATTATTATTACTATTATTGCTTTTATTATGTTACTGCCTGCAGGCCCTCGCCGGGGACAGGGCTCTATTATGCTGGCTGATGTACAGCCAGACAGCCCCCGCCTCACCATGTGCAGGATAAATGGAGGCAGACAAAGGCTGGGGAAGGAGGAGTGCTTGTCCCCCTCTGCGAAGCCCAGGAGGCTGCAGAGGTCACACAGAAATGGGGGAGCTGGGCACAGTCCATCTGCCCTTCCTCCTCAGCTGACCTCTGTGCAACCAGCCCCGGTGTTTCCCATCGTGCACACATCATTATGTTGAGATCTGTCCTAAAAAAAGTTGATCTGTCCTCACTGGACCGGTTGCCAGAGGTGCAGTCCCCTCTGCCAGCTCTTGCATCCCCACCAACTCAGAGGGACGTGGCAGGAATAGCTTCAACTTCCTCTGCATTGAGGGACTGGCATTGCTGTGCTTTCCAGCCTGGGCATGAGTCCTGTGGGTAGGGAGAGGAAGCAGGGACTGCTGTTTTTCCCATTAACCCACAACACCATTTTAGGGCTGTCCACAGCTAGGGGTGCAGCCTCCTTGGATGGCCAGGCTCTGCCATGCTTGCTCAGAGGGACAGAGACAGGCTCTAACCCGTAGGAGCAGGGCTGGGGGTCGCATCCCTGCAAAATGAGGGGGAGTGCATCTCTTTTATTTTGCTCTCCTCCAACCCACCGTGTATTCTCTCAGGCACATGTGTCCTGCCCAGCCTGGCTGCATTCAAGCATCCCTCTGCTGCAGCTCCAGGCTGGCACAGCAAAAAAGCAAAATCAGGTTCCCTGTGTTACGAGTATCTCGTCGAGTCCATCCCCATCCCAGTACTTTCCTCCCCACTTCCTTGCTGCAGTTTGCAGTCATCTGCGTTCGTTCATCCGGACAGACTTTTGTTTTGCAGGCCGAGCCCACTGAGCCAGTGCAGGATTTATACTTTTCCATGTGCGTTCGGACTCCAAGTCCCTGTCGGTGGAAGCTGATGTCCAGCCCGAGCCGGGGGATTTGAAGCGAGCAGAGGAATTGCAGAGCCATCTGGAGTAGCTCAGCACGGCACAGCCCCAGCGAGTCTTCCCTCCCACTGAGGATAAAGCTGTAAATGGAAAATGGTGTCCCATCCTGCCACAGAGAGGGGTCAATGGGAGCTGGGAGGTGGCACTGGGCACCCATGGTCAGGCCTATGACTACTTGGTCACGAGCCACATCGCAGAATCACTGAATCACAGAATTATTGAGGCTGGAAAAGACCTCTGAGATCATGAAGTCCAGCGTATGACCTAACACTACCACATCGACTAGACCATGGCACTAAGTGCCACATTCAGCCTTCCCTTAAACACCTCCAGGAATGGTGACTCCACCACCTCCCTGGGCAGTCCATTCCAAAGCCTGATCACCCTCTCTGTGAAAAAGTGCTTTCTAATATCCAGCCTAAACCTCCCCTGGTGCAGCTTCAGGCTATGCCCTTCAGGAGCATCCTCTGAGCACCAGATGCAGTGGGGATGGAGGAAGTTGTCCAGCCGTCCTTGCACTCACCACAGCACAGGGAAGGTGATGGGAGACAGGAGAGGCTGTCAGGGTGGTGGTGAAGATTATGGTGAAGGAGGACTGCAGAGGGTGTGTGCTGGGATGCTGTGTGGGAATGGTGCTGCTGGAACGAAGCCTATGTCTTGGGGGAAATAGGTCAAATTCTGCGTACCACCGTAGTGGTTGGGCTGTGGCTTCATTTCAGCAGCACCCCTCTGCCTCACCTGTGGCCAAGAAAGCAGGTTGGAAAGCATCACAGGCTGGTGTGTACTTAGAGGAGCAAGCAGTGTTGTAGTGACGGTGTCTTCCTGGGGACAGTTGCTGCAATGCCACTGTCATCCTGGAGCAGAGATGGCAGCAAGCAGCACACATACAGCTCCACTTGCAGCAGATGGAGCCCGCATCAGCACCTGGCCCCATACAGCTTCAGACAGAGGGAGAGATGCCCTTCATGCACCAGGCAGGGCTGCAAGGAAACAGTTCACTTGCCATCACCACCTCCTTTATCTCCCAGGGCAGGTGAAGCACCTGTGGGGACGTCACCTCCCACCCATAGCAGGTGAGTCCCTGGGGCCAGCATGGAGAAGACCTCTGAGTGCGAAGCAGGAGCTCTGCCAGGCAGAGAGGGGCTCCCCACGGCTCTGGCATCTGTTTGCCATGCATGGCAAAGGAGTTTGGTGCTGGCATCTTCACAAGTTGCTGCTCGAATTGGCCAGAGCCAGGGACCATTACTCAATCCAGAGATTTTCAGGCCTGGAGGAGTCTTTGGTCTGCATGTAGATTTTGGAGGGGGTTGAGAGCCCTCCCAGGCACGAGGACTTGTGCATTGCTATTCTTAGAGCGTACAGAGAGACGTCTTCCACCCAGGCACGGCATCGCACCCAGATCCTTCCTGGCCGTAAGAAAATGAGAAGCGTGGGTGTACCCAAATCTCAGTCTTTTTGTAGCTTTGCTGTTGCTAATTGGGAGTTTGAGCTGCTGGGAGCTGAGCGAACCCTTGGCTCACTCTGCATTGGGCAAAGCCGTTCATCAGCCTGTCTGTGACTTCCTCCAGCACTTCAAAGTAGCTGCAACTTCAGAGCACGTTGCATAGCTTGCAACCAGTTCATATTCACTTGAAACACTTGTCAGGTGGCAAGAAAATATCCCTGTATCCCAAAACCAGAGCAGGGCTGAGAAAGAGAGACCTGGAGTGGAGGGTGACCATGGCAGTCCTTTGGCTGCAGTAAGTATGATGTGCCAACGCTTTGAATCCCCAAAACTGCAGCCCTAAACCCAAAGTCTTCCACATTTCTGCAAAGTGAGCAGATTCAAATGTGGGTCAAACTCCCTGAAATCAGGAGTAGCAGGGGAAGTGCAAGGTTTGGGCTTGGCGGACTCCTGTTCTCGACCCAGGTACCCCTGGGCAAGAGGGATATTCTGCTCTCACCAGGGTTCTTCCTGCGTGCCTCCAGAAACTCCTTGACAGGGGTTATTTTGAGCCAGGACAGCTGTAGCACTGACCAGAACAGGAAAAGGTGATCTGTGTCTAATTAGTTTGGGAAAAGGACGTTCTTCCTGTTGCCTGCAACCCCTGAGAAGCACATGATGTAAAGCCCAGCCGGGGATGTAAGGAAGGATGCCACATGCAAAGCTTTACCAGCCTCCCTCTTCTCTTTCAGTAAAGCCGGACCCTCCAGAGAGTGTGGTGGCCAAACCTGTGCCAAATAACCCCCGGAGGCTGGAGGTGTCGTGGCAAAACCCCTCATCCTGGCCTGACCCCGAGTCCTTCCCACTCAAGTTCTTCTTGCGCTATCGGCCCCTTATCCTGGACCAATGGCAACACGTAAGTGATAACGAGCTGGGAGCAGGGGGAGCTGGTAGAAGGAACAAGTGGTCAGGGACAAAAACAACGTCTATTTACTGCCCAGGCAACCCAGAGCCTTTTCCTCTCCTTCTCTGTCTCTCCTCCCTTCTCTCTTGCTGTCTTTCATTTAACTCACATTCTGCCTACAAATGGCTCTGCAGGCTCTCCCCACTCCGCATTTTCGTCCGCGGCCCCTATCTACTTTCCATACATATGTTCTATATAAAACCTGCCAACGAGATGTAAAAGGCTTTTAAAGTATAAATGTCACTGCATTTAAATGCGCCTCTGCCACATTTAGATTTTGAACTGAAGATAAAATACCGCTTGCCGTAACTCAGAGCGCAGTCATGGAGCGATTGCCACGATTTTATCGCATTTCTTACTTCTATTTCTTGTTTCTTTAAAAAAAAAAAAAGTGAAATCCTTGCCATCCCAGAGAACAGATTTCATTTGTTAGCTGCAGGAAGATAACAAATGGGGGGGTTTTATTATTTTTTTTAATCTCTGTGTGCTGCTTGCATGCTCGGCTTGTGAAGTAAAGCAATCTGCCACTCAAGGAGGGGTGCTGCTATGCCGGCATGGCTCATCCAGCATTCCCTCTGTGCCAGATGAAAGCTAGTTAGGGGCTTTGCTTGATAAAGCATTTTGCACAGCGCCTCTCAAGAAAAGTGACAAATAGGAGACAGCACCCAGACCCTGGGGAGCTCACCTGCGCTGCGGAGCTTTGGGGAGAGAAATGGCTGAGAGAGGGCATGGGAGGCTTTGCTCAAGTCTCTGCAAGGCATCGGCATTTTGGCAGCTTTTTCTTTTTCTGTTGTTTTTTGAGTTGTTTTTTTTAATGAGGCAGCACCACAGGTCATGTTACAAGTTTGCTGATGGCTTTGAAAATCAGAGAAGGTTTGGGAGGGGGTTTTCTTGCTTGTCTCTTTGCCCTTTGCTTCCCTCCTGGGTGTGAGAGAGCATCTGTGGAGCATACCAAGGGGTAAGAAAGCAGAGGTGGAGCTCAGGTACACATTTGCTGTGAGTATTTTTTTTTGCTTGGGGGAGAAATGCTCAAATTGTAGAAGCTGTGAGAAAAGGGCAGAAATTAATGGGAAATACCAAACACAGCATCAGTTCTTTCAAAGTGTGAAACTGTTGTGAAGAAAGCTGATGGTTTTGCCCTGCCACAGCCTGACCCAACTAAGCACCCTGCAAATGCAGGGGTTTGCACCCAAAAATGGTGAGAGAGCCAGTGAGCTGCCTCCATCCTAGATGCCTTCAGGGTGGCCAGTCGCTCCATCACATTAGGTGTCACGGTGATGAGGCTGAACTGTCCTCCTCACCATGGGGCTTCCAAAAGGATGGTGTGGCCTTTCCATCAGTGCTCTTGGGCAGGCAGCAATGATGAGAAATACATAGAGGTGTTGGAGACACCAGTGGCAGAGCCACCCTGGCTGCAAAAAGCAGTTCCAGGGCAATAAAAACTTGATTTCTCGTATTTAAGGATACCCTGGGCTGTGGAGAGGGCTCGAGGTACCAGCCCTCATGGTGGGTGCAAGGAGGGCTGGGAAGTGCTCGTCTCCCAGCATCCCAGGAGGATACAGCGATCCTGGGTACAGCTTTTAATCAATATCTCCTTGTGAGAGACGTGTCCCCTGTCACTGGCTGATGGAAAAGTGTGTTTGGGGAATAATTTGCTCGGTGAGCGAGCGCAAGCATTCAGTGAGTGAGGTACCAGCCTTGTTTTCTGACTCTCTGCCCCGCCAGCTGGGTAATGAAAAATCTGATTTGTGGATGATTTGAGGAAAACTGCCACTATTCATCAGATGAATTATTTGCGAAGCCTAATTCAATCAGCTCCCAAACACCAGGGGATGGCAGCGCTACAGCAGCTGGAGCCGCTCTGACCCCAGACCCCCTTTGCACGTTCAACCTGCTTAGCCAATCCCTACAGATACAGGAATTTGCACCCAGAAATGAACCTGCCTGATGCCAGCACACTGGGACCATGACCATGCCATGCTGAGCCCAGCTTTACTTGACCTATTGCCTGTTGACAAGCAGGGTGTCCCCATCCCAGATCCAGCCAGGAGAGAGAGTGTCATGGTTTGGTGGGACCAAGCCTAGGTCACCCATCCAGCTCATCCCAGGGTGTTGGTGTTGGGTCTCTCCTTGAAGGGGCAAGTACACTGAGAAATGGGGCAACCTGCGTGTTGACAACGGGGCAGCTTGAGAGCCCAGTGGGGAGAGGAGGAGTGAGGTGGTAACTTCATCCTCCAGCACATCCCTGTGTGCCCCGTGTCCCCATGCTGAGCCCTGTCCCTGCCTCCTCATGGCAACCCACCCATGCACCAGCTGTGGGTTTTAAGCATCTCCTGCCACCCCGTGGGCAGCCCCACGGGAAGCCCAGCATCCCTGTGGGAGCCAGCCCCCATGGGAGCACCAGGATTTGCCCAGAGCCACAAATATCCATGAAGGCCCCGCTCACACGTGGTGTTTCTTGGCAGAAAGCTCCTCTTTCTCCCCGCCACCTCCTGTTATCTGTGCAGGGTCTGATTTATGCACAGCACCTCGGCAGGCAGGACCGAATGAACGCTAATAGGATCAGATGGATGTCGAGCTGTTGAATACCATAGGGCCTGATTCAATCAGCGTCTGCTTTCTCCCAGGATCTTCCTTTCAGGATTTTAATAATGCCAGAGTTGGCACCAGAAGATGAAGCCATCCATGGCAGTGGATCTTATCAAGACCGCTGCTGTAGGAACTAGCCGTAATGTAGTTTCCCCTCCAGAGAGGGACGGGCAATGCTTGGCCCCAGCATTTACCCTATCAAGCAATATTTGAGGCTGACTCAGAGCTAGAGAGATGCCCTTATCACCTCCCCAGCACTGTGCAAAGGTGGGTTTGAGCCCTGGCATGCCATTTGTGCTCCCTTTCCCCTGCTCAGCAGCACCTTTCCGCTCAGGCCACTTAACAGCTCTTGTGTTGCAGTTTGCTCTGGGAATTATGACAGTGTGCTCTGGGAATTATTATCATGGAGAGAATAAGAAGATGATGAGGATGAGTTTCCATGTACGCATGTGCCGGATGCTCCTTGCACCTCGTGCTCCCTCAAACCTGGGCACGGGCATTTCCCAGCTGTTTGGGGTGCAGACTTGTCGCATCATGTCACATCGGGTGGCCACCAACTCCACTCCATCCCACCAGCACCCACACTCACTCTGAAGCTCAAGCAACTTCAAAGTCACGCTCCTCCTTTTCTGGAAGAGGAGCTGGTAGTTTCTCTGCTGCCAGAAGAGAGATGGGATATTTGTAGCCTAAACAGGTTTTTTATTCTCTCCTTTTGGCAGAATCTCCCTTTCTGTCTCCTAAATATAAAACATTAAATGTTTAGGGTATCCTTTATTTTTCTCCTGCTTTTAAGTTTGTAATTCAAGCCAGATTAGCGTGGTTTCCTCTTCTGTTTTATAGCCCCATCCTGGCCCCAAGCAAGCTCTCCTAATGCTCTCAGATGTTCCTCTAATGGCTTACCTAGGCTGGAACTGGATACTCTTTCCTAATGGATTGCTAATAGCCTGTTTCTGGTTTTACAGGCTCCTTCAGTTAACTCACAACAGCAGCCATCCCCACACTCACACATGCGATCTCCCTGCGAGCATGTCTGCACGCTCACCCCTGGATGCAGTCGGGTGGCCAGGCACCGTCCTGAGCATCTTTGGGGCAGGTCTGGCACCCAATTTGCTCCCACCTCATAGCAGGGTCTCCCTTTTTCCCCATTTCTGGAGGGAGACATCGTGCGCCGAGCACTGGCCAACTCGGTGCACATCTCAGGAACCTGGCAAGGCTCAGAAGGTCTCTCTTAAGCATCATCAGAGCTGGCAGCCAGGCCAAAGGAGGATTTCCTCCAGTGGGTTGCCAGCAATTTGCAGATGCCGTCGTGAGGTCTAATTGAACCCATTGGCCACGTTGACAACATGAAATGTTAACGAACCGTGAGGCGGGCTGCGCCTCAGATCTTGAGATCTGCAGTAAAAGGTCATGAGACATTTAAAGCTAATAATGTGGTTGGGTTCTCTCCTTCCTCTTCTGTTTTGGAAGCATCAGAGCCATCCCCGTGAGCATTTGCAAAGGCTGGAAGTGTCCTCCTCTGAAAAAGCAAGCAGAGGTGCTCCACTATCCTGGGGTTTTAGAAGCTGGGGCCACAGAGCTCCTGGTGCAGGTGTCTGTGCTGGCTTGGCTGCTGAGAAGCTCTCATCCAGGCAAATGCCATCATTTGGGGGTAGGAATGGGCAATCTGTGGGTGTTGCCAAGTATTTAGTGGTTGGGTTTGTTGGTGTGAGGAGGGCAGGGTCCTCGGGGCTGGCCACCATCACTCTTGTGTTGGGATTGGCTGCCAGGCTGTGCTCAGGCTCATTTCCCAGGGCAAAGCAACATTTCTCAGTCAAATAGGTGAATCTCACAGGCTGTCTGTGGAAGCTCCTGCCTTGGCGCAGCCTGAAGAAACCCTGGAAGCATGTGCTAATGTGTATCCGGTCCATGACGGGCAAGGGGGAGGGATGGAGCTGGGGATGGCAATTTGTGCCACAGCAGCTGCATCCCCACCATCAATGTCACTTTGCAGTGGGCACACTTCTGCACACCTGTTTGCACCCCCCATGCCTCTGCCACTTTGCTTGCTCTCCCCCTCTTCTCCAGGCAGCCTTGGTGGGGAGGTCACCCTGAGCGAGCTGGGTTACAGCTTCACGCCTGGTGGATTTTATTGCGGCACTTCTCTCCCTTTACCTCCTGGCTGCAAAGTCGGTGATTAAAAAGGAGGGGGGGGAAGAGAAATTAATAGGTGGGAGCAAAATGTTGAAGTTGTAATAGTGTCCCTCACAGCTCGGTATGAGATGGGTGGCGCTGGAGCAGAGAGTGCCTCGGAGGAGAATGGAGGTGGGAAATGCTCAGAAATCACATTTTCCATCAACCCCCTCAGCTCCAGGGATAGAGCGGGA